ATATATTACACAGCAGAAGGACGAGGCTTTGCTTTCACAAAGATGGACATACAGCCTTGGAAACCCTATGTGGGTTGCTATGACATGACCACACTTAACAACAACAGAAATATATACCTATTCAACAATTATTATTTTCTGTGTAGCTGTGAATATAAGAAGCTTAGTTAAATGAGTCTATGTTTAAGTATTTATTCTAGTGTGGATAACAGATTGTGTAGTTACATGTACAAATGCCAAAATGTAAGGATAGGGCTTAAACCTGGTGGTTTTGATTTCATATAACATGAGGAAGATGTTCAAGATGAGAATTAGGTTCAGGTTTTAAGTGAAGATTCTAATGGTTTTATAAGTACAGGGCAGGTTGTTGTTGCTGTTAAGTGCTGTTGGGTCAGTTCAGACTCATAGCACCCCTGTATAGGGTTTCTGAGGAGCAGCTGGTGAGTGATACACTGATTTTGTGGTTAATAGACCAGTGCTTATTCTACAGCACCACACCAGGAGCCCATAGTATGCGTGTTGTTGTTGTGAAGTGCCGTCGAGTTGATTCCGACCCATAGCGACCCTGTATAGAGTTTCCAAGGAGCAGTTGGTGAGCTTGAACCGCTGATCTTGCAGCTCAAATGGCTTTGCAGTCTGGCGCATTAACCCACAGTGCCACACCAAGACTCCTGCCTATTAATACAGCAATCTATTAAAAAGATTTTTATCTCATTTTGAACTTTATGTTAATATATAAATATAAGATTTATGTTGTGACTTACTTCTTTGGGACAACTGTTTTTTAGATTTATCTATGTTTATATGTATAATTGGACTCCTGGTGTGGCACTGTAGGATCAGCACTCGAATATGAACCACAAGGATGACAGTTCAAACCCACTAGTTGCTCCTTGGAAACCCTATACAGGGATGCTTTGAGTAGGTACTGACTCAATGGTACTTAACGACAAAAACACTTTTATTTTCTATGCTATATTTGTTGTTACTAAGTGTTGTCAAGTGGGTTCCCATTCATAGCGACCCTGTATATGGTTTCCAAGGAAGGGCTGGTGGGATTAAATCATCAACCTTGAGGTTAATAATGCAGGGCTTATCTCATAGGACCATATTAGGTTTCCTCTGTGTCATTTAGAATTTAATTATTTCAACACACTATCATTCATTTCTTAATTTTTTGTTGATCATTTTGCTTAGGCTATTTTTGTCCATTTATATATTTTTTATTATCACTGATATATTTGCAGTTCATTTACTGGAACCATCTTATTGCTTTGTTTTTTGTTTTTGGAATTTTGTCCTCTCCCTCTTTTTAATTTTTTTAAAACCATTTCTAGATTGAAGTTTGCTTAGTTTTGTCCGTTTCGTCACACTGTTTGATCTTTTCTAATTTGGATGTTCTTCTCAATATGTCTAATTTTTAGTTGTTTCTTTTATCTTCCTGAACTTTGACATGTGTTCTTAAATAATAAAGTTAATATATTTTTATTTTATTTTCTGAACAGTGAAGGGCCTTTGATCTTTTAACTGGTTATCCCTTCCCAACTCCTGGTTCATTTTGTCTAACATATTTGTTCAGTATCCAGCACACGGTCACTTCTGCCAAAGGGAAAATGAACCTTCTGGGAATAGTGATTGTTACTGACTTACTGAAAATTTCAATGTAAATTGTAAGAAAGGGTTTTACATCAAAACGTTAACAGAAGTTCATCTACAAATAGCACAAACCTCTTCCTTTATATCCTCTCATACAATAGATTTTCTCTCTTCAACTATTTCTTCTTAGGCTGCCTATTGTTTCTAGTTCTAGCTACTCAACGTACATAAACAAACAAACAGATCCAGTCCCATCCTTTCTTTTTCTCTCTCTCCAAAAAGCCATTGTTATTGTTAAGTGTTGTCGAGTCTGTTCTATTAGCCACCCTGCATAGGGTATCTTTGTGATGCTGGGTAAGGTGGAGGGTCAGAGAAAAAGAGGAAGACCCCTAACGAGATGGATTCGCCAGGTGGCATCATTGATGGACTCAAGTGTGGCAGTGTTAGTGAGGTTGGCCCAGGATCGGACATTGTTTCGTTCTGCTGTGCATGGGGTCGCTATGAGTCGGTTCCGACTCGATGGCCCCTGACAACAACAACAACAACAATAGGGTATCTGAGGCCTTAAATCCTCATCATTTTTCCTGTGGAGAGGTTTGAACCACAGACCTTGTGGTTTGCAGTTCAGTGCTTATTATATGGAAGCATTACTGGCAATCTATTGCTCCTATACAGGGTTGCTCTGAGTCAGAACCAACATTACGATACCTAATAACACCCTAATGCAGAGGAGCCCAGGTGACTCTGTAGAATAAGCATTGGGCTGTGAACCACAAGGTTGGCAGTTCAGAACTTACCAGGTACTCTGTGAGAGGAAGATGAGACTTTTTGCATTCATCCAGATTCACAGCCCTGGATTTACCCTGTAAATCTGCCCTGGATTTACCCTGTGCATGGGTGCTATGATTTGAAATCAACTCTATGACAGTGCGTATCCTAACGCATAGGAGCCATGGTGACACAGTGGTTAAAATGTTTGCTTATTAACCAAGAGGTTGACAGTTCGAACCTACCATCCACTCCCCAGGGGAAAGATTTACAGCCCTGGCAATCCTATGAGGCAGTTCTACCCTGTCCTGTAGCGTCTCTGTAAGTTGGAATTGACTTGATGGTAGTGAGTTTGCTTTATTCTAAAGCATTATCATTTATCCCTGTCTTATTTATGAGTCCTAGTGTGGTGTTGTAGGATTAGTAGTGGACTACAAGGTCAGTGGTTCAAACCCACCACTTGCTCCATAAAATCCTATTCAGGCTTGCTGTGTGTTGGTCAGCATTTAACAGTCACAAAATAGGTCACCCTTTTTGGAATCTACCTTCTTTAGGAAGAAGGAAGGAGCTATATAATTATGGTTTTTCTCATCTTTACATGTTGATTTTTTGTTTCTCCTTCTGTGAAATAACATATTCAGCGATTTGAAAAGGAACAACAGTGGCACAGTGATTAAGTGGTTCGTCAGTTCGAACCCACAAGCCACTGCTGATGAAAAAGATGTGGCAGAGTACGTCCATAAAGACTATTGTTGTTGTTAAGTGCCCTTTGACCCAATAACACACCAGGATTCCTCCATAAAGACTAAAGCACTGGAAACTCTATGGGACCATTCTATCCTGTCCTACAGGGTCACTATGAGTCAGAGCTGATTCGGTGGTAATGGATTAATTATTTGATGATATCATTATTTTGGAAATTAGTAATAATAAGGAAATACTTTTTATATATTATCTGAGCTGTGCTTACCTTTACTAGAGAGAAGAAAGTCACTTTGTCTTCATCACAAACAACAGGACTAATACTCTTTAAACTCTTCCTTTGCATAACTTCAAATTGACATTTTGTCATTTGATTCTCTCTGCAGTGCAAGTGACTTGTTCTATGGATTGGCTGATGGTCACAGTTAATCCATCTGCACGTAATAGTGATCGGTATATATTTGCTGATGAATTATTTCTGGGAATGGGCTGCCCTGCAACTCGGATACAACCCTATGCATATGATTTTGTATACCATGTTAATAATTGTGGCATCAGGACAAAGGTAAGAACAGTGATTCTTTTCAAAAGGAAACAGAAAAATCCTTGTAAATATTTTGTCAGCCCTTTGTGCTTGATTCTCCAAGTAGTATTTAAAATAAAACAATCTTGCCCCTCATTATAGTGATGCATGGATAGATGATGAACCAGTTCCTCACGTATCAATTGCAAATTTCAGGCAGGACTTTAGAACACAGATTTCCAGACTAGTAAAGGAGCTGAGTTTTAAGCTGTCTTTAGGTTACTATTACATTTCACTAAATCCCTGGTGGCACCAGTGGTTAAATATGTAGCTGCTACCAAAAGCGTAGTGGTTACGAATCGGGCTACGAGCCTCAAGGTCAGCAGTTCGAAACTACCAGCTGTTCCTTGGGAGAAAGATGAGGCTTTCTGCTCCTGTAAAGATTTATAGCCTCGGAAACCCTATGCAGGGTCACTATGAGTCGGGACCTACTCCATGGCACATAACAACAACCAAAAGGTTGGTGGTTTGAATCCACCCAGAGGTACCTGGAACAAGAGACCCGGGGATCTACTTTGGAAGGGTCAAAGCCATTGAAAACTCTAGGGGGTACAATTCTTCTCTGAAATTCATGGGGTTGGTATGAGTTGGAATCAGCTCAATAAGTGGTTAATTTTTTGGTATTTTGCCAATGCTTAGCAAGCAGTTTTAACTCCATTCAATGTTTCTAATGTTGAAAGATCACCATTCCTGTGGAGTTATATCTTACAAAAGGTTAGGTATTTTTCATCTGTCCATGCTCCAGGAGCATCATTATTAATATCAGAGCAGATTTCATTGGAATAAAAACTCTTGTCAGTTACTTTGCTAAGCAACAGTCTTCAACTATAATGTTCCTGGAATAGTATCTTCTTATAGATTTCCAAAGTTAAACACAAATATTTTTGGACCTATGACTACCAACTGGAGAAGGTAAGGTGGAGGATCAGAGAAAAAGAGGAAGACCCCAAGTGAGACGGATTGGCAAAGTGGCAGCATCGATGGACTCAAGTGTTGCAACAATTGTGAGGCTGGCCCAGGATCGGGCTGTGTTTCGTTCTGTTATGCATCGGGTTGCTATGAGTCGGTACTGACTCTATGACACTTAACAACAACAACATGACTACTAATGGTCACCTATAAATAGGACTTCTGGTGTGGTGCTGAGGATAAGCACTGGGCTATGAACCACAAGGTTGGTGGTTCAAACTTGCCAGCTGTTCCTTGGAAACCCTGTACAGGGTCTCTGTGAGCTGGAATCAACTCGACAGCTCTTAACAACAAGTAGTCTAGGATGTTGTCTTTATTTCAGAAATTAGGAAAATATAGCTTCAGAAAGTGCTTGAACAACTTGTCCTGGACTATTCACCTGGAGTCCTGGTGCAGCACTGTAGGATAAACACTGGACTGCTAACCACAAGACTGGTGGTTCAAACTCACCAGGAAACCCTATCAGTAGAACTGATGTTGAAACATCACCAGTCCTGGGAAGTTATATCTTATTCGAGGTTAGGTTTTCTTCATCTGTTCATGCTGTGAGTGAGTCACTATGAATGGAAACTGACTTGATGACACTTAACAACAAACACCTGGCCAGTGAGAGTTTAACTCAGAGACCAGTGTTATCCTCCAGGACTAGTCCTTTCAGCTATTCTATTATGACTTCCTTCTCAAAAGAAACGTTGTAAGACTTTTCACTGGTGAATCATAAAGATTGCTCTAAGTGGCTATTTAATTGTGCTACTATGTACTATGAAGATTTTTCCAGGCACTTGAGTTACCTTTATAGATGACACTTTTCTTCTGTCCTAGTGGGTTGTCAGAACTCTGGATATACATACAGCTAGTTCCCGATTATGATGTAGGACTGACGGGCAACGTGTGCTTGCCCTTTGGTGGCGGTTACACGCTATGGAGTCGGTTCTGACTCACAGCCATCCTGTGTAGTGTTTCAGTTAGCGTTAAGAAAATTTGCTCTGACTTTGAAACGATTGAATCAATCCCTACTCCCAACAAGTTCTTCACCAATCAAAATCACCCTCACTTGCTGCACGTGCAGCTTTTAAGTCACTAAAAAGTCTTTGAGTCTGTTCTCGACTAAGGTAAGACTAAATTAAGAAGGCATTTACGTACAAACGTACCTACAAATTTCACTTAAAGACACACTTAGGGATGGGTCTTGTTCATAATCTGTGGACGAGCTGTACACTAGAGTGGTAGTGGCCATCCTTGAGAATCTGAGTGGCTTCTATTTCCTGCTCAAATGTGTGCATCCCTCAGCTATTACTAGAAATACCTCCTAACTTAAACCTGTTGCTCTCCTAGGTTATTTCAAGGGATGCTCTCCTTTTTCAAACAGAGATGTATTTTATCCCAAGGAATATGCATGATGACAGTCAAAGAATCCCTCTGGAGTGTTTGACCTCTAGGTGAGTCCAGCAGACAAGACTTCTATCGAATGTTCTAGCTTCATCCTCACCTATCAGATGCATCTGCAGAAGAACAAGGCGCCCTACTGGTGCAGTGGTTAAGCACTAAGCTACTAACAGAAAGGTCACATGTTTGATGAACTCACCAGTGAGTCCACAGGAGAAAAATGAGGCAATCTGCTTCTGTAAATAGTTAAAGCCTTGGAAAACCTCATTCTAGAAGGTTACTGTGAGTTGGAATCAACACAATGGCTGTAACTTTGACTTTTGACTTGATGGTTTATCTACCTTAGAAAAAAATAGAGACTATACTAATAAAAGATTAGGTTTGGCACATAAATTTCACACCCACACCACCCTACCACCCCTACCCTCCCTTTGTTACCACTAACTACCCTGGGTCAGGTCAAACTTTTAACAATTGTTACTTGTCATTCATAGGTTTCTTTGGCTAAGTTTATGTTTCTGGGCATGTCATTACTCCAGTAATGCAAATATCATATATCACCATAGTCCACTTATCTTCCTACTCTTAGTAAGTCTGGTCTAGAAATTAGAGGAAGATCTGCAATTATCTTTCTGCCAAAATTCTAAATGTTCCCTGAAAGGCACAGGCAGGCTACTGACACTGTTACACTCCAAACACAACACCCTGAAAATGACCCTGGTATTAAGACAATGGCAAAAGTAGCCTACCTCAAGATTGTTGTTGTTGTTGTTGTTATGTGCCATCTAGTCGGTTCCGACCCATAGCGACCCTGTACAGGGTTTCTGAGGGTGTAAATCTTTACGGGAGTAGAAAGCCTCATCTTTCTCCCGCGGAGCAGCTGGTAGTTTCGAACCGCTGACCTTAAGGTTCGCAGCCCGATTCGTAACCACTACGCTACTTGGAGTCAAATGTGCCTAATCCAATGTGCTTTCTGTTTCTCTTTTCTTCAGCAAATCAGTGTGGCTTTCATCAGTTTCTACTGACAATGAAATAAAAGAAATCCCCAGCCCTTTTATTGCAGACTTCAAGACAACGTCAGAAGAGATAGGATTGTTAAGCTTTAATCAAAATGGCTCTGTTTTAAGAAGACATGGAAACTTGGAATGTCTATTGTGATTTTTGTTTAAAAATACCTATTTTGTTTTATAGAGAAAAAGAACTAATATAAATCTTTGCTTAGGTGTCTGATTTCCTAAAAAGCCCCAATTCAGTACAGACCCTGGTTCAGTAAAAGTATATATTTAGATATTTTTATTCATTAGACGTATGAGTTATTGAGTTAAGATTAACTGTTGGATAACTCACTTCTGTTTAAACTGCTTTCTGTTGTATATAGTAGATTCAACAAAATGTCCTCAATGACAATAATTAGGAAAGTTCTTAACTAGGAGTTTCCTAATAAACTCTAGTAAGAGCTTTCCTAATTAGTGGAGACAAACCCTAAAAACTTCAATTTTGCATCAAATTTGGATAATTATTCTAGAAGGAAATTAGATTCTAGAACTCAGGTAACCAGTTGTTAACTAAAATTTGGAGTCAGTATCTCTTTTATCCTGTAAAGGAAAAGTTCATGAAGCCCTTTGGACTAAGTGCTTGAATTCAATTCAGGTTTTGTTGAATAAAGCTGGTCTTTACATGCCTGCCCGAGGCTCTTCACCTAGCTGCATTCTACAGAGTCCACGTGGACTTTTCACAGGCATTTGCTGTTTGGCTCCTTGATTACTTAGCAGCCATGGGAATAAACCAGGATGTGAAAGAAAGGTACACTACAGAGGGACAATCTTTACTCAGGTGTTGTTTTTTTATCTACTTACCACCACCTACTAGAGTCTCTAGATGGTGCAAATAGTTAAGTGCATGCTACCAATTTAAAGGTTGGCAGTGTGTGTAAGTGAACCCAAGAAATATTTGTTTCCAGGATGTAATTAAAATGGTTTTTAGAGTTCTGGGGATAATTTAAAGGGACTTTGTTTTAGTAAGATTCTGGGAAAGTCAATACTGGCAGCAGATAAGTATCATAAATTCCTAAGACATCTGGTTGGAGCTGTTTCATTTCCACCAGTGATGTTTTAGGATGTCTCTTGAAGGATATGTGACTATGATTGGAAACTTATGTAAACTAGTCCATGAAATCACTTTAAGCCCATTCTGCATGCCTAACCTATCCTTCTTGTGACTTCAGCCAAAGACTAACCAATGAAACGATGATAACTTCTTTGTTCTTAGGCTGTATCTGGCCTGGTTAGAAGCTCCTTCGATGGAGTCATCAGTTCTCCCTCATGTGGGCGGTTATCTCCTGCATTCAACTGTACCTTTTTCTTTTGGTCTGAATAAATCTTCAGAATCTCATTTTAAGGACTGAGTGTGTATGTGTGTGTTCTCCCTGTGACTGTTCTTCAATGATTCTTCTGACTTTGAGACAATTGATTGAAACTGTCAGCCTTAGAATCATCATGCCACTTCAGAGCAAGTCATTCCATGGTCATTGCTGTGAGCTGCAAAGATCCCTAGGTGGTGCAAATAGTCAAGCACATGGCTACTAATCCAAAGGTTGGCAGTTCAAACCCACAGAGTTTCCTGGAAGAAAGCTCTGGTGATCTTCCAAAAGGTTACAGTCTAAAACATTTAAGGTTGCCATGAGTTGCAATTGACTTAACAGCTACTTTTTTTTATTTTTTGGTATCATCATCTAATTTCCGCCATCTTCTTTTCCCTAGAGATAGATTTCTCATGTAAGACACCAAAAATCGCTTTTTTCCCTCATCAAGTATGAGTACTAACATGTACAGTTGGATATTCTGCTTGCTGAATGTACATTTTGGGTGTTGCATCCTTCTGGAAACAGATTCTTCCAAGATCATCTTTTGCATCAAGTTTTATAAAATTAAAAGTGCTGCTGCTTTATGGGTTACCATATAATACTGCCAGTGATTGCTAATAAATAATTAAAAATCGTCATACTGGTCATCTACATTTGGCAGTTATAGCTGATACGTAACAAGTATTTCTGTCGTACTTAATGTTTGTCAAGGATTGTTACAAGTTCATGATTTAATCCTCTTAATGATTCGAGAAAGTCTGTATCATCATCGCTCTGTGAAAATGTGAAAGCAGACAGGTTCAATAGTTTGTCCCAGTTATATGGTTGATACATGTTGGTGACAAAATTCAAAATTGTGTTATCGGTCCATTAGTTGCTGCATTCTACTGCTACTAATTATTTCAAGTGGCTGAACTTTAGTTTTCTGGAGAGAAAATAATTACAAAAATGCACACACACATATAAAATACAAAAATATAAAATGCATTTATGCCAACAGATTTGGGAGGAGTTCGGGTAAGGCAAAGGATTGCCAAGAGTGAAGGAAATTATTGGATGTGCGTCAACCGTTTCTTCTATATTTTTGTGCTACAGGATGAATATGGATGGTGTCACTGGCTTTTAGAAGGATGGCCCTAAACCCCCTTACCCTGCCACTTCATTTTTGTAGACTGTATCAGTTAGGTGCAATGGGGCGGATTACCCGATAAGTATGCTAAGCATCAGGTTTATTTGTACTCACTAATCCTGATGTGGCACTGTGGGTTAATGCTCTGTGCTGCAAAATCTGGTTTGAACCACAAGATTGGTGGTTCAAGTTCACCAGCTGCTCGTTGTAAACCCTATGCAGGGTTGCTATGGGTCGAATCTGGCTCTGTGACTCTTAACACCAACAACAATCCATAGTAGGGGTTCTGGTGTGACGCTGTGGGTTAATGTGCTGAACTGCAAGGTCCATTTGAACCACAAGGTCAATGGTTCAAGCTCACCGGCTACTCCTCGGAAACCCTATTCAGTGTCGCTATCCATTGAAACCAACATAATGACACTTAACAGCAACAATTCATAGTAAACAATTTCAAATGGATTTCACTATATGACCCTGTTTCCATGGTGATGTATAATTACTAGTGATAATCTTGTTGAGTGCATTAGAATATTTTAGCTCTGAAAGTTAGTCAAGCACCCTGCAATTATTGCCCCTGTAATTATGGGAGCGCTGGTAGTGTAGTGGTTATGAATCGGGCTATGAACCTTAAGGTCATCAGTTCGAAACTGCTAGCTGTTCCACGGGAGAAAGATAAGGCGTTCTGCTCCCGTGAAGATTTATTTACAGCCTCGGAAACCCTGTACAGGGTCGCTATGAGTCGAAACCGACTCCATGGCACATAACAACAACAACAATGATGGGCTAGCACATCCAAATGGAAGAAAGTATTCCTGAGTCTTCTTTTAGAAGCACTCATTCTTCCTCTGGAAGAGAGTCTTCATTTTCATCCATTGGTTTTGAATACATGAAAAGTCTCAGCACAAAACCTCCTTTCATAATGAATTTTATGCATTCTCTCCCTTTTTCTTCATACTGTGCTCCAGGATGAGGACACTGAAGGCTAGAATTTAAGTAACTTCCTTTCATGGCCTTTTCTTCCACCATCTCTGAGTTCAAAAGTATGTGGAAAGGACCAACTCCCCCGGCTCATTTCCTCATATCTTTTCCTGTTCTCTTTCAATTTTCAATTTCCCTCTTCCCTCAAAGAACTGTCTTATCTTTTAATTAACTTTCAATGCTAATTGCTTTTTCTACAAAAAATATAAAGATATTGCATCAAGTAATGTCAGTCACTGAGTATACACTTAAGTGTGGTGTGTGTATATGTGTATGTGGTAAGGTGGCGGGGGGGTCAGAGAAAAAGAGGAAGACCCCCAGCGAGATGGATTGGCTCAAGTGTGACGACAATTGTGAGGTTGGCCCAGGACCGGGCAGTGTTTCATTCGGTTGGGCCATCAGTTTCATTCAACTCAATGGCACCTAACAACAACAACAAATGTGTAGGGCTCTAGCAACACTACAAGCATTTAAGAAATAAAGACAAGCAAGCTCTGAGGAATGCGTCATTTCTCAAGTAGTCAAACGAGGGACTGTTTGAGTGAACATTGGTGTGTTCCATCAATTTTATGTTTATTTGGGAAATTAGCATTGGCTCTGACTGTTATTAAGTGCCATCAAGTCACCAACTCATCGCGACCCCTTACAGAGTTCCCAAAGCTGTAAATATTTTCGGGAGCAGAAAGCCTCATATTTCTCCCATGGAGTGGGTGGTGGGCTTGAAGTGCCGGCTTAGTGATTCCCAGTCCAGTGTTTATCCTGCAGAGCCACCATACTTCCCTAGGGTGGGGAGGGGCAGATCTTTTACCACCATCCTTGCAGCTATAGTCTTGTGACTTTTGCTTTCATCTCTGTCATCGAACCCTATCCTTTGCTCCTCAATGTAGACTCTACAAAACTCTGGAATCTCTTGGTGCTGCAAACAGTTAACAGACCAAGCTGTTAACCAAAAGGGTGGGCGTTTGTACCCAGATGCACTTCAGAAGGAGGGCCTGGTAATTTACATTTGAAAAATCAGTCACTGAAAGTGCTCCTATAACACACATGGGTCACCGTGAGTTCGAAGGGACTTCACAACTGATTTTTGGTTGTGTTGACAAATCCTCTTGTCCCAGGCTCAGGGATCAGCCCTGGCTGCACAGTTCCTGTGAATTTTCATTGTTTCCTTGGTTGTTGGTGCTTCTCCTTACTTTACACTGACTTCCCCAGAGTTTGCAACTTCTCCTTCCAAACTATACTTTAGTCAAAGTACCTGGCCCTCCTTCTCTTTCCCATGACCAAGTCCCCACTTTTACTCCCCATGCTTCCAGAACTAGGGCCTTACTGAGTTTGATCTAAACACTCTCATTCCTGCAGTCCCCCCTATGGATCAGGGGCTGCACCTGACTTCTAGACTGTCCTCTCAGGTTTGCTCTCTGACATTTACAAGTGTTGAAATTTGGATCTTGTCAAAGACTTCCTTGTTCCCTTCACTTGGCTATGATCTTTCCATCACTTATTTCAGGACAATACTTAGGATGTTGATACATTGATTAAACTGGGACACTTTGACATTACATTGGGATTATACATGTAATTGTGACTTTATCCTAGAAAGAACTTGGCATTTGCACATGGCTTTGCCTGTTGCTTTGTGATTTTAGAAAAGCTGGTGAGCATTTCCAATGCACAATTTATCCTTCTGTAAAG